ACATTATATGAATTATATAATATTTTTCAAAACAATCAAGTGAGTGCTATCCAACGCGATTGTTTTCTTGCAGGCAAGATAGCCTCATCCTCTGATCATTTTCTTGTACTACCTAATTTTCCATGTTTTGGAAAAAAATGCGATTGTTTGCTTTCAGAAAAAAGATACTTTTTTATAATTCTTTATTACAAAATTTAAACAAATTTTGTGGTCATTTTTTTATTTAAAGGATCTTTGTTTAAGAAATATCACGAACTGTTCAGATAAGCCTAGACCTTTTTTCTATAAAATATCAAATGAGTTATCTTTTGACATTATTTCATCACATTTATTGATCAATTGCACGGCTATTTACTAAATTTACTAAATCTAATGTATTTACTAAATTAGATAGAGTTGGCTTTTCATAGTTTTTACTATATTTTTTTTGTTATTTTTTGCTTATTTGTCAATATGGCAATTTGTCATCATGTGCTTTAAATGTACCATAAGAGGGATGTCGAAATGTGTTATAGAACTATCGTGTTCTATGGGGGTTATCTGTAGGTAACATATATTCGTGGTTTTAAATGAAATGTGTACTATTTTAGAATTATCTAACCGCTATATTTAATCAAATATTGAATTTTGTGCTAGAATATATGCACTGCGCAATTTCACATAATTTTAAAATTCTCTGAAAATTTCATAAAGCTTAAGGAGCTTCCCCGTATTCAAATTTCGCCAAGTCGTTTTTTTTAATAAAAAATAGCTATTAGTTGTCAATATATGTCCGGGAAACAACGACAGTAAGTCTTCGGCTTTAAAACTTACATATACCATTAAATAAGTCGTGAGTTGTACGGGGCGTCGGTCGTTGGCGATACATTGATTTCGGTGAGCTAACGGTAACCGCATACCACGCGGAGTTGATAGTTAGTCGCTGATGCCCCCATGCGACGACAGGTGCGGTTTCATCTTAAGGCGCTATACTCGCGAACCACAAAAATCGCATAAACCAATGTTGACAGTATAAAACTTTAATGCGTCATCAAAAGACCAAAAAACGTTATATAGATTGACTATATAATATATAGATCGACGATAGCGCGAGCCATCAAGTTCATTGTTAAAGGAAAATAAAGAAATATTATAAAGAAATCGAAGACGAAAAAGATTGAAGAGATATTTAAAGATATTTTAAATATAATAAATATTATATTAATGTATAATGAAATAGACAAATGATATGTATATATAAAATATGAAAATTCTTTTCATAATCTCTAATACCAGGCACAAAAAACTATTTCACTAGTTCAGCAGCATAGCATCTTGCTTTAAGGCAAATTGCTGGAACTACCCGTTTCGTATTTAAAAATCTTGGTACGGAACCCAAAAAAAAATTACACAAAATGTGTACACATTCTTAAAATCTCTATAAAATATCTGATAATTTGATGTACATATGTCCAATAAACATTCTTGGCTGCCAAATGACATTTTTCCAATTTATATTTATTGAGAGTCCATAACCGCTGGGCCTGCCTTCCCAAAAATTTAATCAGTTCTTCATGTTATCAATACAAGTAAAATGTTCTTTGAATTATTAAAATCGGACGCTCCGTTTTCTTAAAAACTGAGATGCCATTTTTGGCACTTTTTGCCCCGTATCTTCGTAACGGCTAGACCTGCCCTCGCCAAAATCTATTCAGCACATCTTCTCAATAATACGAATCGAATGTTTCGAATGAATTAATCAAATCGGTATCGGTGTTCACGAAATTGTTGACGAAATTTTGTATCCGTACACACACATACATCCATTTTTACTAAGGTATGCCAAAATGTTCAAAAATCTTTGAAACGTAAAGATATATACAAATTTTTATTTTTGATTACGGGAAGTTAAAACAAATTAACACACAAATTGAAATAAATTTGACGAATGTTGGTCTAATTTAATCTCAATCAATATAATTTTTTCATATGCATAATTAGACTTAACCTCAAAATATGAAATTTGCATACGCATATGCTCAAATATAATATATTTATATTTCTATATGTAAATAAATATATTAATATTTGAACAGAATAGAAAAATCATTGATAAGTATTGAAAAAATATTACAGAATTGTGGGGATGAATTTTATTTTTTACGTAATCATCATAAATAATACTGTTTATTTCTTTTTATTGGACTTGCTTACTAACAGCGTTTAGGCTCCTACAATATTTTATTTTTATATTTCTTACTATCTTTATATATGTCTTCACAGCTGATTTCTTCATTTTTCATTTTACTTCGAAATCTGATTTTCACGAATTTTAATCTTGCATTTTTTTCACTTTTAATTTTTTATTCAAATACTACCCATTAGCTATATTTTTTAAATTCTAAGAAGTCAAGAACAGAATTCGATCCGAAGATCTGTGTCGTGTGGTCGGACACGCTACTGAGTAAGCTATGCCCGCCACTAAATAATACTAGAAAGATTATCTAATAATCAGATTGCAATCTGAGAAATAACATTTATTTTATTGTCAATACAATCCTTATATCAAAAAGAGATATAATACTAGTTCAAGTTGGTGATGGAGCTTTCACGAAGGCGTATTTTAGTTTTAAACTTTCAAATAGATAATGTTGAGGATGTGCTTAGCAATGTTATTTTTAACACTTGTACCTAGTATTTAAGGTTTTAAGTACCCAAACAATATAATTGAAATTAAATCAAGAAATAAGCATGTTCGTGCGCCGACGCTGCGTCCTTCGAAGGCTCCAATGTCAGATCGGCCCGCGAAGAATGCATCAAAGTTTCAGATCGAAAGGCGATAAAATGTTGATTTCAACTTTACATACTTGTAATGCACCTTGATGAGTAATTCTCTTGTAAGAATTAAACTCGACGAGTTCTCAGAAATTACGTGCCGAAATAAAATCCGTAGTTATTTGCGACAGTCGCCAGCGATACAAGAATGGGGACAGCTTGCTTGGAATAACAAAAAATGTTTTTTTCTTAAGATAATTAATCATTGTCTTATGATTTTTTTCATTACTCAATTTGGTGACATAAACTGAGATTTTATGTATAAAAAGATAGTTAATATGATACAGGTTAATAAGAAAGAAATAGATTAAAAATAATAGAGGCTGCTTTTAAAATTATACTGTAGATAATTTTGTATTGATCATATTCTGTAACTACTCATGCGTAGTCATAATAATAATAATACAATTTTCTAATAAATATTTAACTGTTTGTTAAATGTACACATATTACTACTATACTATATTATACTATACTATATTATACTATACTATACTAAAATAATAATATAGCTTGTAGTAATAATTTATTAAAATATTAATACGGATTATTTCTTACGGAAAATACTTATAAATCTTTATTTATTGCCCCTCTAAACTAATGCATATAACATAGGCATTTGACATTTACGCCTTTGCTGAAAACTACTGCGTTATTAAATGCTTAATTTATTTGTATTAAGTTTTAGACAGTAGCTGGACAACAGTTGGGATTTAGAGTTATACGAGCTCGTATGTTTAATGCTGACATTGAGTTATTGGAATTCATGAAGATTCTTGTACGACAGCGTTATGTGTCAACGATCTTATGAAGACGTGAAAAATACCACATTTAATTTTATTCCTACGCATTTATTTGCTATGCCAAATTAACACTCACTTGTAGACAATGGACTTTTATTTCGAATTATCATAAGAATAATTAAAAATTCAAAGCAAAATTAGACCATCGTTGTTTTTAATTTATATTATACATTTTTGAAAAACTAAATTTTTACCATATAACTGAAAAATTTTTCAGTGCTGCAATGTGAAAAGTATTTAAAGTATGCTCTAATAAGTCTCGCAAAATTCATGAACTTTCAAGCACTTACACATAGGGCGTTGTGATGATAGAGTAGGGCAGGGCGCAAAGGTTCAATTTTAATTTAAACAATTATATTGTGAAAACCAAACCAATTATATCACAAGATCACATATCAAACAAATAGCTATCTGACTATCTTCAGTAAAACTGCCAACTATATCATCATTGTAGAAATCTGAACTTTTGCTGTTTTTCAAATAGTTGTCCCTCTAATGTTAAAGGGATTTTACGAAATAAAAGCTAGCTTAACTATTTATTTGATTAATCTTTTGTAAAATTGCTTCCTTTAACTTAACTTATTTTTTTATATACTATTTTCTTTACACCTTTGCCAGGGTAAAGGTTCAATTGGTTCTTTTTTACCCACCCACGTGAAAGCTTTTATAAAGGTTATATAAAAAAACTATTGAATCTAACTTAGAATTAACAATAATTCTTATAAAATAACGTATACTTAAAATTTGTATTAGGGTCTCGTAAACTAAACAACAGTGCTCACAACTAAGAAAACTAAGAACAAAAGGAAATACTTTTGATATGGATTTGCAAACATTACCGTTATACTCCTGATAGCGACGTCGTAGGAATTAAGATGATGGCTGGTTATACATTCCTTCCCTCTACTTTTAAATATTGTTGATGGAAAATTCTGATCTTTACTTGTTTTTTAGATAACGGTGCGGACTTTTAAGCCCCGCTCTACCCTATATTTTATTATTTAAAAAGGCGCGATAAAATCTTGAAATTTGTATATAATATTTATTTCGAAAAGGGTTTGTATATAATATAAGAACATTATTCATGTATTTTCAAGATAAGTTTTTTTAATATTTCTCAGATTATTTTTGATTTATATTTTTTCTTTCGTAAAAGAGTTCTTCATATATTTAACTAATATACTTATCTTGTACGATTATTTTTTACCCTAGCTTACTTTTTTATTTTGGGGATTATAGAAAAGTATATTTAATCGTTTTTGTAAGCGTGTCTATGTCTGTGACTCAAATCACAAAATTGTTTGAAATATTCAAAAAGATTTATATTGAATATTCTTCTGACACTGGATTGCTATTACAAATTTCTATTTTTCTTGGTTCCAGGTCGATCAATGTCTCAGGCTGGTGGTAGTCAATGCGGCGGAACACCAGCGAGATTGTGCAAGACGCGTTACAATACGACGGCGCCTATGTACGGAGTCTCATTGACGTCAGGGCAGCCGGTCACCATTGTGCAGAAGTTCCCCGATCTGCTGCAGCAGGTTGTCTTCGAAGTCTGCGAGTGAGTACTACTGAAAATGCGAAAAAATTGATTATATCACCATAATGCGATTATTCACGGATATAAAGGAATGGATAAGAGTAAAATTTGTTTATTTTTCATAGGAAGTTATTATTTCAGTTGAATACACAATAAAAAATAATATATTTAATCATAATATAAATAAGTTTTTGTTGAAATTTAACACGGCGATAGAGTAAATGATCTCTACGAACAATCTAAAATATTAGGGGCCTACGAAAATTGGTTGAATTGTAAAAATTCATTAACGTTTGGAATAGTGGACTGTGCTTTTAAGACATACAAGCGCGTATTTGTGCACTATAATTAACTACATAATATAATTACAGATATTACAACTTTGTTTGAAAGTTATCAATTGATTAGTTTTTAGTGAAAGCGAAAACGTTATTTTCGAAATAAGCAGTTGACAATTTTATCTAAATATCTAAATCTCACTTCTTATTAAGTCGATTATTTAAACGTATAGGGTTTATGCAACTTTCCTTAAGGCAAAATGCCACTTACACACTTGTTCATATTATTTTCAGTCACGCGGAAGAAAATGCTAAATTAAACCTAAACTAAGTCCTTACGATGATTTCATAGAAATTGCAATTTCAAGGGTAATATCAAATCTTGTGTTTAAGAGATGTAATTACCAATATGTAATAAGTGTTTTTAGCATGACTAATATATTATTTATATACGCTAAAACTATTTTTAAATCTTTAAAAATATTATTTTTCAACGTCCCTTTAGATTTAGTAAATAACATATGATGTAAAGTTATTATTACTGTTCTGTAATTATATATGTCAATTTTCAAATCTAAAATTACTACCACTACCACTGAATAGCATTTTAAAATCTTACCAGGCATGTTTACACATTTGTCACCAAAATTATTGAATGACTTACCAGACAGATTGTAATTATATGGTAATAAAAAATCCAACGTAAGATACCCTTTTGAAAAAAAGATAAAAATATACGTAGGTGGAATTGGTGCGTGTAGCTAGTTATTACTTAAGCTGATTATCCAATACCGTATACTTTGTAGTATGCAATAGCAATTACATATTTTTACATTACGCACTGTCTTTAATAATCACTCACGTTTATGTGTTATTATAGCCCATCATCATTATCGTTTTATGTGCTTATTTATTAATTTTCTCGGCTAGATGGAAACCAATAAGAAACTAAAAACATGAAACTGGTCAGAACGATCATCAATAAGGTATGTGTGCATATGTGCATTTGGATTTTTCTCCGAGAGATAACTCGGAAACGCAATTGGTGATTTAAAAATTATTCAAATATTTTAGTATCTCATGGGTTTCTTATATATCACATTAGTTTTCAATAAGAATTTAAGACACACCTACAAGAAAAGTAGGCCTTCGAAATTAAAAACAAACTAGTAGTCCATGCCTTAAGACAAATTGCTAGAACTTACCGTAGCGTAATGAAATATTCGAAGAATTTTAAACGCTTTCAAATAGATTATTATAAATACTGTAACTTTTTACTGTAAAAGCATATGAATTGGACGACGATGTTTATTTAACTTAATTAATAGGATTTAAAATGAAGGACGTTGTCTAATATTTATAAGAATTATATTAGATATTATATTAGAATTGAAACGTTGAAATTAATTATTTTAAATATGTAAGTGATATTTAGAACTTTAACTCCAATTGGAATTAAAATCTAAATTATTTTCGATATCCAAAAGATTTTTTTTGGAAATTATTTTTTTTTAATTTTGAAATCATTTTTTTTTTGTTTTCACTAAAAACTAATAATTTCTTCACACTGTCAACACAAGCAAAATGTTTTTTGAATCTCTAACGATAGGAATCTATAGGTTTTTCGAATAATTCAAATCGGTTAATCGGTGCTCCGACGAAAACGTCGACGAAAAATTGTATCCATACATACTCACATACTACACACAAATCCATTTTTTTCTAAGGTATGCCAAATTGTCCAGAAACCTTTGAAACGTAAAGATATGCAAAAATTTTCACTATAACTTACCCTATACTACGACGGGAAGTTAATAGTAGACAAATTAAATAATAAACTAGTTGGTATTGGTATTTTGCTTTGATTCAAGTCATAAGGCTGTATTATTTTAGTAAGTTCTATAAGGCCATGATATATATCGCCAAAAAAGTTTCATTCTGTAGTATGAGCTTAAATGTGGACGAAAAGTTTAACACTTTTTTCCAAATTACAAAGAACCGGCTTTTCAGATTGTCGCACAAAACTAACAAACAATAGTCCTCATTGAAATACATCAAATGGATTTTAAATTTTTGAAATGGGTTCAGGCGTTTTTAAGCAAACGTCGATGAGAGGTCTAATTTTGACAAATGCCAAAAAAACGATACCAATTTGTGCAAACTTTGAAGAATTTTTAAAATTAAACTTCGCATAACACACGCATACTTTCTCAAATTTGGTCTCATTCGATTCAGAATGGCTTGAAACGCCGAGAGCACATAAAATTAGCGAATCGTTTTTTTTTATGAAAACATAAACTTCTCCTCCGGGAATTTAATATTTTTAATAAACAGCTCGAGTATCCTATTGAGTTAAAATTCAGTATTCAGAGTATTTAACCTTTTAACTTGTCACATGTGTAAAAATGAAACATTCGTACAAATTGTAATTTACAATATTACAATAGACTAAAGCGATGCATGTGATTTGCTTTCAGATCTTCCGAATGTGATGTCGTCCGCGGCGAATGCACGCAGACCTACGTGCCGTATTTGTTTCTGGTGATACCGCTCGGGCCGGTGACGCTGACCGGCCAGGACTACGTGCTGGTAGAGAGCGGATGCGTCTGCAAACCTAAGTACGCGACGAGCAATGCCATCGAACCCAACAATTTACCTTGAAAATAAACAAAAACGCTGGGCGTTTTCTCAAAACTTTGTACCATAATAATAAATGCTGTTGTGAGTTGCCTGCAATCTTTGGGATTGCAACATGATAGTGTTGCTCTCCCGATTCGCTCTCAATAAGATTAAACTTCTACAATCAAAACTAAGAGCGAAGATAGATGCAATAAAACGCTACTTTTATATTTCACATTCATATTCTTATTTATGAGAATGTATCGACGTAATGTAGCTAGCTTGAATCAAGTTTTGGTTGATTCAAGTCGATAATGTCCAACTACTATCACAGGCGCTGCTATTTTAAAATGTTGATGAAGCACGTATTTTTGTATTTTTATATTGGGACAAATATATCTTATAAATTAGAAATTAAATAAAAAATAAGTATTTATTTTGTGATTTAGTAAAAATATATTAATTGTTAGATAATTTCCGGATGTTAGCAGAAACCGCGACTAAACGTGATTTTTTGTGTAAGCCGATAATGCATTTTAAAATTTCAGAACATTTTGCATCAAAAATTTCATTTTTTTATTTTAATGTCTATTTAATAATTGGCTGGATATAATAAACATAACAAAATATTGTCAGAAAACATGAACTGGCATTTTACAATATAAATACATCTCATCGAATTATTACAGCAGCGCCATATTTGATATTCTCATAAATTGGTAGCACACATAAGGAATATACCCACACAATTAATGATCCGAATTTCTAAATATTTTGTAAATGACGTCTATAGACAATAGACAGAGTTGAACAAAGTTATTTTGAAGTTTAGATTACAAAAAACTTAGGAGTTTTATTATTAGAGTTATTTTATGTTATTTATACTTATATTTATTTTATAACAATCATCACTATACATTTAAGAAAACTTTCATTTAGTTTATACGCTTTTTCATATTTTCATTTTCATCATGAGTTCATACAATTTTGTTTAGTTTTTTATAACGCCTATTGAAAAACAAGTATAGAATAACTATTCGTTATTGTAGTTTTGAATATTGTGCGTAATTTGAATATTACGATTCTGCGATTTCTTAATATACTTAAAATTGTATATAAAAAAGTCTGAAATTGTCAATTAGGATGCACTTTATTTATATGAAATATATATTTAATTTAGTGTAATAATATATTTCATATTTTTATGTGTATTATTGTTTTAATACTGAACAAAATCTTTTTCACTATCATTCTCATTCAAAAGCTCAACTTTTATGTTTCACTTTACATTTGAAATGATTAAATATTAACTGTTAATATTTGAAACTTAGAAAAGTATTGTAAATAATAAGCAATTTATAATAACTAATGATTTTTTGTAATCTGTTAGCAGTTAATATATAAATATTTTAATATCATATTTGATAATATATTCTCACTTATTTTTATAAGGCAGCGTTTTCCAAGTTTGCAATAAGCGAAATATAAAAAACAATCCAATTTTAATTTTTACACTTATGATGAACAATAATTCGGGTTAAAGCATGTAGTTTTGTAAAACTGCAACTTCTACCATATGTTGTTGAATCCTTGTTTATATTTAAGGAACTTTGTTTAAACCTTTTAAACAATTTCTTTTGGAGGCTATAAAGTTTACATTTCACATATTTTTCAATAATTTTGTTATTACTCGCATGCATTCGTCAAAAAATCATTGATTGGAAAAGCCTTGTAGAACGTACAAATTGTTCACAAATTAAATGTTCAAATAAAACTATAATCTTTTAACTAACAGTATAATATATTTATATTATACTTTCGAAAAATGTACTCAATATTTAATAAAATAATATAATGTGTTAAAGGAGTTTATTTCAATAATAGCCATAAATAAGGAAATATTATATATAGGTACAATGCACAGCTTTCTACAGACCCCCAGAAAAGATCAATTTGGTAGAAGCATAAATTTAAAAATGAGATAAATAAATTAGAACTATGAATGAAAGCCCACCCAATCGGCACGAAAGTAGGTTAGCACCAACCAGTTCCGTTGTTTTTCCGGGTTTGATAGTTTGATCTCCGGTCGGTCAAGCCGATCAGGAAGAATGATGCCAATTTTTTGCCTTTCGTGGGCATAGCTGGATAGCTGGAGGAATATTAAATGTTTCCATATAGATTTTTATAAATATTATAACATTGTTTAATATTTATAAGAATTATATAAACTCCAAAACCGTTAGACCTGTTAGACCGCTAGACCTTACTAAAAATTTCATCAGTTCTTCATTTCGTCAATACAAATAAATTTTTTTTGAATCATTCAAATCGGATGCTCCGTTTTCTCAAAAATTGAGTACCCATTTTTTGCTCTTTTTGCACCGTATCTTCAGCTGCACCTGCCTTTGCCGAAAACTAATCAGCACGTCTCTTTATCAATAGGAATCAAATATTTTTTTAATAATTCGAATCGGTTGGTCAGCGTTCTCAAAGTCGATGACGAAACGTAAAAATATATAAAAAAAACTACGGGAATTAATAAAAGCATGATTGAATAATAGAATGAATGGTATAATAATGTAGAAGTTGTCGTATTGGTCATATAAGAATGACAATAAGATATACAATGTACAGATATTTTGTATAATCTCTCATAAGAGACACTTCAGTATAATATATGTTAGGTGGTAAAATTAATTCGTGGAGTTTTAGGAATGCATTAGCCAACTATTTATAGCTGCACATGCAAGCGTAAATGTTCTCTTGAAAGCTACTGACATAGCGCATCTTTACCAGTGCATATGATTTTGTAATTATGTCCGTAGCAATTGTTATGTAGTATCAAACATTTCGATGTTTGTGATAGAAAAGTCGTTTTTGTGGGGAGTGTTATTTCACTATTTTAAATATAAAGAAAAGTGCCGCGGAAAGTCATCGTATTTGGGCGAACATGCTCTTGCTGAGCAGAGAGTGGTATGCACGGTTCAAAATTGAAAATTTTACCAGAGAAGAAAAGTAAAAGTTGCCAAACACTTCTATTGTCCAATGTGAACAATACTTTAAATAACGGTACTGTAATTACCCTAGAGAATATCATAATTATGCTCTCATAATAAATCACAAAAAATTACAAAAAAAGCTACGAATTAATTCCAAACTCCTAAAATTTACTTAAAAATATAAAAAAACTAGTGGTGCATCGTGCAAATTGCTAGAACTTCCCGTACCAGAAATTAAATTTTTCAAAAAGGATTAAATTTGTTTTAAACTTTGAAAAAATTAGATTTTTGAGAAATTTTAAATTTTTGAATAAAAGACTTTTTTGCCAAAAACTAATCAGCACCTCTCCTTATTGATAGGAATTGATTGTTTATTGAATAATTGAGATCGGTTGAACCGAAATCGTCGACGAAAATTTGTATCCGCACACACCCTCTCTCACACATCAATCAATCATTTTTTTCTAAGGTAAGCCAAAATGTTCAGAAACCTCTGAAACGTATAGATATATAAAAATTGTCATTTTCGATTTGTTTGCGATTACTATAACTTAAGTTAATAAAAAAAATTACGTACCACCAAGTACCACAAGAATTGCGCCTGCGCGAATTGCACCACGAAGTTTATTTTTGTTATTGATCTTCTGTTGCTCTTTCTAATGTCAAAGTTTTCTGAGGTTATGAACAAAAAACAGTGGAAATGATGGATAATAATGAGATGTTTTAAATTTAAATTTTACTATGATTAATAATGTTTCCACAACTAAATTAATAAGGAATTTTTATTTACTTTTTATCTTAAATCAAGCATCATGTTAGTTGTAATTTAAGACTATGAAAATATGATAATATTTATTTGGCAATTCCTATGAAAACTTGTAAAAAAGGATTTTCAAATCTTTAATTGACAATGTCGAAACCAGACAATTTGGCAACCAGACTCTGCAGTATATTAGCTTTACAGAACGGAAATGGTAAGTAATCATGATATAAAATTATATACAAATTTTATATAGTTTTTTGTTATATAAATATTTATAATTCGTAAATTTCTAATTACGTTTGCTCCCATTTTACGGTCAATTAATTTGCAAATATAATAAATTTCTAATTGTTTATAATTTCATTATTTTTTCATTATTCAGTCTTACAGATTTCTTTGCTTTGTGTAACATTAACAAAATTTATGTGATTCATTGCACTATTTATGAAATAGTAAATATTTCAAAATTTTGTATTTTTTAAATTCTAATTCGCTCTTGGTATATTTTCTACATTATTGTTTCAAAATGCTCAATTTAAAATGTAAATTAATTCTTACTGCTATTAACTTTATTATGTGTTCTTAAAATAAAGAATTTTGTAACTAATTTAGGTTCAACAGAGAACGCACAAGAATGGAGAGTACTAGGAAATGAAAAAGACGGCAGCATAGTATTAACTTGGATAACATTAGATAAAGAAAATAAAGAGCAAAGCCACTTAGGACTGTACATCTCTCATGGAAAAATTAGTCAAAGGTTAAAGAAGATCTATTCATTTAATACAAAGCGTAATATTATTCAAGCATCTGTGAATGAATCGAAAACTTTAGTTGCATTTGTTACCAAAGAAGAAGATTGTGAAGAAAATGAAAATGATCAGTTATTTTACTGTCCATATGTTGTTGAAATTAATACTAATGGATCGATAGTTAAACCATATGATTTTGGCAAAAAGCAAACAGCTCAAACTATGGTACAGTTTCTTTATAAAAAAAATAATCATTCGAACAAAGATAGATTATTAATATTAATACATCAGCAAGGTATGCACACAAATATTTTCATATTATATACTTTTCTGTAATGCTATGTTTATTTCAATATAATAATTATTTATTTTTGTCAAATAATTAATTAATTGTCTTTATGATTTTAGCTAGTTTTATTTATACACTTACGTGTGATATGAACTGTGATGCTAGCGAATGCTGCTTAAAAAGAGAAACAATTTCAGGTTTGTTTCTTAAGTTTAGTACTCTATAATTATAAACTTGTACTTTTACATTTATTTTTCTAACATTAATACTAAATATTATGCAGGTGAAGCAGTTTGCCAGTCATTTACATGGGCTCAATGGGATCCAAAATTGCAAACATTATTCTATATTCATTTTCGAAAAGCTCTAGCACCAATAGATGATTTGTTTTCAGAAAAGGTTGAGCAAACTGCTAATAAGCCCACATTATCTGCTTTACAATTTCATGATGAATTGCCTCACGAAACAGTAGTAAGTTATTTTATAATTATAAATATGGAATGAAAATTTTACTTTTAGATAGGCAAATATTCTAGAAAACCATTTTCATATTTTTCTTTTACAATATAAGGATTTATAAATTTATGCTAATGTTTCTTAGTGCTTACATCAAGAAACTTCAAGTTTAATGAACTAATGTTTGTTATATGATGATACCGACTTATAGCAAATTACTATCACATTTATTAATTAATATTTTTATTGGTTATGTTTTTTCTAGTTAAATATTCCTCTAAGTCTCCCCAATTGTTCTGTATCGCCTAGTTGTAATATTTACGAAGATGACTGTATACCTTTAAGAGTTCATGACTGTTCATTAGATTTATTAATTTTAACTGAAGAATCTTCAGGAATGCTGTGCATTTGCCATCATTATGTTTATAAGGTAAGAATATTGTATGTATATGGAATTAAGCACTTATATTATACTTGATATTTTAAACATATGATTGTATTTAAAAATTTAACTCTTTGAAAATTAAAATGGATACCAAAAAATAAAAATAAATTTTGTTTTCATAATCAACAAATTATATTTTAGCCTTCTATGTCAACATCAGAAGTTGATGTAGATAGCATGGTACATTTTGCATATTCTGTCACAGTTTTACATCATGGCTGTGTTGTTCACTGTGTAGTTCCAAAGTTATCGTGGGAGAAAGCAAGAACTTTAAGATTAACATTTGCATTTCATGGAGGTATGAATTCGGGATAAATTATCAATAATTGGTTTAAAGTTATATAAATGAACACATGCGGAAAATTAGTTAGTTTCGTAATTTTTGTGGCATGGCTTACATTAGCTATAAGTTTGTTATTACTAGCAGATTAGTGCATATATTTATTGATTTGAAGCTCGATCTTTAAACCTATCTAATACATATATATAATATCAACGTAAAATTCAATATTATACAAATATATATATATATATATATATACATATATATATATATATATATATATATATATATATATATATATATTGTAGAGTTTCGAACGAGAATCCAAAAAGTAATACAAAACAAAAAAAGTTTTTTAATAAACTATTTCTTTATTTATTTACTGTCGACGTTTCGGAACTAGGTACGTTCCATCTTCAGGACATCTGTCAAGGAACATGATCTTGATAAGATTTAAGCAAACAATATGTTTAAGAAAAGAAGATGGATTTTTTAATTAATAAAATAGTTGAATAAATAATGTTCAGAAATATGATAATATGATCAAAATGAAAAAGATAAAAAATAAATGAGTGGATTATATAACAGGATATTAAAAATGATAAAAAATTTGAAAGTTTTGGAAAGTTTTAAGAAAAAGTTAATGAAAAAATTGAATTAATTACCTGTATGATTGAATATATGCTAGCACTTTTTCACTAAAAAAGATTTTATCAAAAAATGAATTTATGAGTTTCTTTTTAGCCGAATAGGCAAATTTTGTAAATCAAAATTTCTATATTATGTCTTTTTTAAGTTTGTTATTTAAAACAAACAATATAATTCTCTTGAAGATCAATAATTTAAGTATTTACATCCTCACATGTCTTTTTTAAGTTTGTTATTTAAAACAAACAATATGATTCTCTCGATGTTATGAGATTGGCTGTTTGTAATGAACTGATTCTAAGTCACACGTGCGCTACTTGAAGACTGTAAGGATGTGTGTGCGTGTGGTTTTTATATGTGAGGATGTAAATACTTAAATTATTGATCTTCGAAAGAATTATATTGTTTGTTTCAAATAACACACACACACGCACACACACATATATATATATATATATATATATATATATATATATATCAGTTATCAGGAGATACTTGCTAATATATTCATTTAAAACTGTGTTATGATTTACAAGTGTTTTCATTATTTTTATAGACCATCATTTAATGATATTAGTTCCTGGCTTATTCACCCATATTCTGGATATTGGAATTCGACATACACCATCAGCTCATATTGTGGCTGGACCCTGCACTGACCGAGTCACTTCTCATCTGATACCAATGATTGGACAACCTGATTTGGCATTAGATGCGGTTACATTAGACATTGTGCCGTTGAAAGTGGAATCAGATCTACTGATTAATGCATTTAAGAGTGATAGTTCATTGGATAATAGAACTGCAATTTTACATTATTTTTTAGTGCATGAATATAATATGGATGCTGTTTTTGAGGTAATTATTTATTTGATGACAATTTTGTACAATTTGTTGATTAAAGACATTATTATATATAACTATTACATCAATTTTTCTCATATTTTATGAAATTATTTTCAATAAATTTTATTAGAGTTAGTAAAATTAAATTTTTCAGCTGATGAACATAATTATGTCTTGTCCTCTGGATTTGGCTGTGAGTCAGTTACTACAAGAATTTTTACTAGGAAGTGCATTTGCATCAGTTGATCGTAGTATGACACAAGAGGCCGGACCTCTTCTACATTTATTACCTGTCACTACACTAAATAATAGAAAACCAGTTACATCAAAGGTAATTATTTTCAATTTATTGATTAGTACATCTATACTAATACTATTTATATTAGTATATATATATAGATTTTTTTTATTAACATTTGAAATTAACAGAATAATTAATGCCCATTTCAAGTTTTAAATATGTCTGAAGTAATGCATATAATTACGATGATTTTGTTTTTGTTTTATTATGATTAGCGAAGATCTTTTGCATTTACTAAGATTTTTTACTATTATCAGAAATTAATAACATTAACCTGAATTTCAAACTTTAATATATTTTCTAATTATTATAAGCAATCAAATTATTTTAGGTGTCAAATCTATCAGTTGGAGTCTCTCATGAGTTATTGTACAGTTCTGGAATGGCTTTGTTATCACCTACACAGCGCTTGCAACCATATTGCTCGGATATGTGGACTAAATTATGGGATTTATTAGAGCGTCAAACACAAAGCAAACCTAGATTTCAATCTAGTCAAGTGGCTGATAAGCTTTTGGTTTCACTTGTGTGTTATCAGGTAAAAGAGTAATTTTTAGTTTCAAATTCTATTAAAAAATATTAAACACAATAATGCTTTTAACATGTGCTAAGAACAATTATGCAGAAATTTCTTGATATAAGGTCTATCAAATTTAAGTTTGAAAGGATTTTTTCATTGATAATGAACTTTACATAAGAAACAAAAATTTATAGATTTGTTTCTGCATTTATATTATATTAAGAATATTTTTACTCTGAAATTCTTAGCACATAACTACATCGGGTCATGTAGATCAACATATTTGCATGAAATTTTAGAATGTTGCGTTATGGCTTTTCTTATGCACAGTGTTATTTTTTATTGATACTGTTATATATAGTACATTTTTAGGACTAACATTTTATATACCTAAACAAATTAACAATTAGTATCATAAACAAAATATATACACTATAAACATAATAAATGTGAAAAACTAAAATAGAAAAAGTTTAAAACATAGAATTTATGCAAAGCTAACTTGAATAGAGTAAAATTAAATTCAATAGATGGTTAAAAAATATTATAACAAATGATTGTATAAATTTAAAGGTTACTAACTAATGTACAGCTGTTAAAATTCGAAACTATTTTTTTACTAACAAAATTGATCAATTTATTGTATAATTTATTTGTGGTCATCTTCAATATGATTCAAGAATATTTGGAAAACATTACCATAGCTAAAAATAAAATATGTTTGTTTTGCATTGCATATGATGCATATGATTATTTAACAATTTTTAAATTTCATAAGAATTAATATAATAAGCATTATTTATTTGTTACTTGGTCATACACCATTATATTTTATTTTTAGCCTGAAGCATTATCTCGATGCACAACACCTATGTCACCTTGTGCTAGTCCGCTCACAGACCTCAATCGAGCTCCTGATGCTCTTCCTTTTGAAGAAGTGGAATCATGCACAGCGAGCAAGCAGGAACATGTAATATCTGTTGTAAGTACTTTGGTTTTGGTCAATATTGCACTACACTACAAGTGTGAGAAATATTGCTGAAAATTTAATGTTGTACACTTTAGAATTTTTTTTTTAAATGAGTTGGATAATAAAGTGAAAAAACAAAAATTGTTGTGTTCTTGGTTGCAAAGAAACTATTTGACAAGTTTTCAATAAGACTAATAAATAATAAACGCAATTTTTAATTTATATTATTCTTTTAAAAGAAAACAACATTTTTGAGAACACATGGGTAATATTTCATGCTTTAACTATACTAACGGTTTTGAGAATAAACTATACTAATCATTACACGAAATTAATCAATATATCCATGACCAACTATCATCAAATGGCTCATGAAATTTTTTAAATCGATGCATTTTACTTTTTCTGTTAATGATGCATTTAAAATGATCTTAAATGTAGAAAAAACACAAAAGAAGTTAATTTGAATTTTGGTTTAAAACAGTTAAAAATTGCTTATCATAATATATATAATAAACACTGGTGGGGCTTGGCTGCTTTTAGTGAATGATTTTGAATGCAAACTATATATATGAATTAATCACTTATGGTAACCGTTCAATACTAATTAACTTGAATCTGAATGAAACACTGAGTTTGTGATGAAATTATATTATCTTCAAGGTATTTACACATGCGCCGTTTAAATTTATGTAGATATTTACTGTAGTGTTGCTTATACTAGTCTGTAAAAATTAAATATTGCTTTGTAAGGTTTATAACCTTTTGCAGAAATACAGACGGTACTACTCCGTTTGGTTTACATGACATGTAAAAGAATTCTAAGAAATTTGTCAACCGTCAGAACTTTGATTATGTATTCTGGCTATAAACTGATACAATATTATATCATATAGTTTTATTGAATGCTATTTAATATTTTAATAATTTATAATGTTTATACTTTTTTAATTGTAGAATCTTCGTGAACTAAGTATGCATTTGGTAAAGCATTCTGCAGGCCGAGCTCGCTGGCTGCAACAGTCATCAGTGGGCAGGGCATTGTTTTCATCTAACACCGGCAACGCGAGCGCTGGCCACGTCCATGCGGTGGCTACTCGTTATGCGACTGGACAACTTGAACAATCTAGGCGCCTCTGCCTCATGCTTTGTCGAATCGTTGGATTAGATTCACATAAAACTTTGCTCAAAGGATTCCAATTAATGTAATCAAATGCTTATAATAAGATTCTGCTCTTAGAACATATTTTTATATTGCAAGTGATTATAATATTTATAAAATCAAATAATAACTAAAGATTTTTGTTAAATTATAATTAAATGTTTTTGAATTTACTACCATTGTCAATTCTATTCAGTGATTATCAAATAATCAAGTCAAGCAAATACCTGAAAGACAATGAGCTTTATCTCGCCACTATTAATGTTGACAAGAATAGGTTTTAAAGTTGCTTAGATTTCTCCTGCTTCATACATAATAATAACTTAACACCCAAAATATCTGCTTAAGCTAATGGTTTCCAACCTCTTTGTGCCTTCGTTCTCCTCTTCTTTTTGAAAAAAATTGCTGTGATATATTCTTAACTGACATTATAAATTATTTAACGAGCTACAAAATAATATACAATATTATGTAATTAAATACATAAAAAATAATTATTTATTAATGCATTCTTAACACCAATTTTGGTTTGCATTAGAAAATATTTTTTGGCAACAGCTGTATGTCTTTCTATCTCAGCTTTGTGTCTTTCTAAGAGAGCGCGCCCCACAAATCGAAAATCACTGGATATGCATTAATATTAAACATATTTTTATTATTCCAAGTCTCATAATATACTTACTATATTGCAATTTTTATCAGATGATGTTTATATTTCTACAAATATGAATTCTACTTTTTTATTTCAGAGATCACATTCCTGATAATAAGCGCTATGAGTTGTTCATAGTTTTGGAGCGATATATGCAAGCAGTTGAAACATTAGCATTTCCACTACCCCAAGGATTCTCTTCATTTTTTTGCCTTCTAGGTTATCATGTGTTACCTTCTGATACTTTTATGCAATATGTTAGAAGAAACGTTTTCGAGCTACAGGTTGATGTGATGAAGTATATTATGGCAGGTACATCATTTTAATTATCACAATAAGGAATTATGAATCTATTACTTATTATTTAAATTTAAACTTTGTAATTATTAATTAATTTTATTCTTTAATAATGTTTCTCTTAGATTTTTTTTAATTAAAAATAACAAAAAAAATAGTAATGCTATATACTAGCATGCGAAATTTTTGTACAGTGCTGACTTTATTTTCACAAATATTTCATTCATTTTTTAAGTTGTTGAAATTATGTTTTTGAAACTCATTTTTTCATAAGAATTGAAGAGCCGGATAATAAATTAACCGAAATAATAAATTTAAAGAGATTACATATATATATTCTGGAAGCAAGTTATTAAGTATGACCACTTTAGTAAATAATAATATTATCACCTTACTGGAAGGTTCAATCAAAATTAAACAAGCAATTTGAATATTATTCATTCTAGTTTGTGCAAGACTTTCTTGATACATGCCAAGTTAAAATTTGTTTAATTTTCTTGGTACAATAACATGTTTTGTCTGTGCATCTATTCTCAGTTACCGATGATTCAACTGAAGGTATCAAACGAAAACTCGCTCTACTTAACTGCTTACCGCGATCTAGGGCACGACGTTTGCTCGCTAATTGGCCGCATCCTATTGCTTTGATGCTGCGGGCTAGAGAACACACCTTGCATATATTATCTGGCGAACCAGGCGGACCCCTCAAGCATACATCTCATAACCAAACTGTGAAAAATAAGCAAACGACCGGTAAGTTATGTGATTTTTTGCGGATAATATTGCATTTTACTTCATGACCTCGCATTATTAATTAAAATCATTTCATGCATTTCGTTAATAGCAAAATACATACATTAATGGTATATATTTTCTTGTTTTGTTTTATTGGACATGGCAAACTATACACACAGTATATTCAGCTAATTAAGTATTAAGGGGTATATTTTATTTGCCAGGGTATACGATATACCTTGGTAAACAAAAAATCTTTCAAAATGTTATGAAATAATGCTTTTTAGTTTGTTCATTGATTGATTGAGACAGTACAGCAATTATATAGACATTTTTACTGATTTTACTACCCAGAAAGAAAGATAAGGTGGCGTTGCCATAACAACGCTATGTTATCAGCTGTGTTACCGCAGAATTGAACTTTTAATTGCGAAGAAACGGCTTGCCGTTTTTTTTTTACTAAAAATTAATAAGCACGATTCTCAAATCATATTCTTCGAACTGTTTTTACATTTTCAAAATTGGTACAGGATTTTTTTGAAAACGTAGAAAAAATTTTTGCACTTTTCTGCTAATTCTAAAAAACCGTCTCGGGACTAACGGGACTTCTTTTCGAGATTCATCAAATGGTTTTAAAATTTTTAAAATCGGGTTTAAAGAAAACGTCGACAAAAGATCAAAAATCGACTAATATACATCTGCCCGGTATACATTCACAAATACATACCTTTTTTTATTGTGGTCTCAAGCGATTCAAAATATCTTGAAACGCCGAGAAAATGTAAAATTAACAAGACAGAATTTCTGGCGTAAACATAAACTTCTCCTTCTAAAAGTTAATAATTAATAAGCATCATGCTAATCAAAACTGCCTGCTGAAAATTCGGACGCTACTGCATTTCGGAAAAAAATACTTTTTCAAGTTGGTTTTGATGACACAGTGAGGTATTCGCGTCATTGTGGCGTTAGGAGGCGTCCATTAATCATGTGACCGATTTAGAGATTTTTTGACCTCCCCTTTCCTTGGTGATACGTGGTGATTTTTATAATTACCCCCCACCAAACATCACGTGTATTTTTAGCTAGGAGAAAAAATCGTGAAGTTTTTGATTTTTTTAAAAAAAAGGATTGGGTTTTCTTAAAAATGTTTAGATTCCTTTTCATATATTCATGTAAAAATTAAATACACGTGATATCTTACATGACCCCTTCCTTCCCTACGTAATATTTTGCGATTTTTTTTTTTTTTGTAAAACTTCTTCCTTACCTTAAAAGCCTTACGTGATTAACAGACGCCCTCTTAGCTGATATACGAGGTGTGTTCAAAAAGTACCCGGAATTACTAATAATTAAATTTCGCGGGTCTGGAGTGTCTGATTGTCAAAATTTTTTTTTTATTGTGTTGGTATACATGCCCCTAAAGTATGATGAAATTTTCAGCTATATTCACTGTTTACTTTGTCTGTGGTAGTCGCTAAGGTTCGACGTGTTTTTCTGAGCTCGGCGATTTTTACAATGGAAGAATTGAAAAGTCAAAGAATTTGTATTAAATTTTGCGTAAAAAATGAAATAAAGTGTTGCAAAGTGCAAAAATTCACCAGATATGGCTCCGTGTGACTTTTTCCTATTCCCAAAGTTGAAGAGACCCATGAAAGGACGGCGGTTTTCCTCGATTGAAGAAAATCGCTGAGAGTGCTCAAGGACATATCAAAAAGTGAATATCAAGGGTGCTTCGAAAATTGGAAAAAACGCTGGCATAAGTGTATTATATCTGGGGGGGACTACTTTGAAGGGGACCACATTAATGTAGACGAATAAATAAATATTTTTTTAAAAAAACGAAAATTCCGGGTACTTTTTGAACAGACCTCGTATGTAATTGTCATTGTCGTCGGACATAATATCGAAATGTCTGCTTATTAAATTATACTTAAGATTATTAACGACCATAAACTTATTATAAAAGTTATTCTATAATAGTATAGTTGTTTGTACAATTTGCTATACCGTTCGAATGAGAAAAATGGAAAAAAAATATTTCCCCAGGTGAGGCTCGAACTCACAACCCCGGCATCGCTCACGACTTACTGTCTTATAAGTACCGTGCGCTAACCAATTGCGCCACTGGGGAGATGTTCGTGGTTTGAGTTAGTGGTGTTTCATTCACAATGCTACGTCGATCCTTTTGTATAGTATATCAGACGTATTTGTATTTGTTTATAGGAGTGTAATTTAAATTATTTGTTATCAAAATCATCGTTACTAAGATTCATACAATGCGATGTTAGAGTTGTAGATAAGAATTGACCTTATCAAAGTCATTCAAAGCCACAAAGGAATTTATTACATATTATTTTTTAAATTTACTAATTAATTTAATTATACACCTAATCAAAACACAACGCAAAGTATTAAATTTTTTTATAGAAAACCATGTAAAGGTTGAAGATAGGATCTAACATTACCAAAATACTACTTCAAAGTTAACTAAGTAAAATTAAATATAAAAACAAAAATATTACAACATTTTATTACACACATACAAAAAGTGGTATATGGCATCGTGCTTAAGGCAAATTGCTGGAACTTCCCGTACCGTAACGAAATGTTCGAAAAATATTAAATGTGTTCATATAGATTATTATAAATACTGTAAAATACTATTATAAATATATTGACTAATATTTATAAGAATTATATAAACTGAATTGCAAAGTTGAAATTATTTATTTAAAGTATACTAGAACAGAATTAAAATTAAAATCTGAATTATTTTCGATACACAAAAAAAATATTTCTCGAAAAAAAAATTTTTTGAAAAAAAAAAATAGAAACAAAAAAAAATTTTTCCAAAGGCAATTATTTTGTTGAAATAAGCAGAAAGTTCCTTGAATAATTTAAATCGGACGCTTAGTTCTCTCAAAAACTGCCATTTTTTGCGCATTTAGCTCTTTATCTTCGAAATGGCTGGACCTGCCTTCGCTAAAAACTAATCATTACAAATTGAATGTTTTTAGATCATTCAAATCGGATACTCCGTTCACTCAAAAACACGATTTGTATTTTTTGCACTCTTTGCCCCGTATCTCCGTAACGGTTGGATCTGCCATTGTCAAAAACTATTCAGCACATCTCCTTATGAATAGGAATTGAATGTTTTTTGAACCATTCAAATCGGTTGATCGGTGCGCCCGAAAACGTGGACAAAAAAATGCGGACATACAAAACAAACACGCACACACACATGTTACACAAACACTTGCCGGAATGTTGATAGGTTTTACTAAAACGACACTTTATTATTGTTTATTTTAATTTAAAAGAAGATTCGCATGCGCTCATAACTTGATCAAAATATATTTTAGTTAGTTTTTATTATATTATTCAGTTCAATATTATAAAAATGATATATTCTCAATATTGCAAAAAAATACAATTTTGCGTAAATGCAACGATTGAGCATTCGTACCTAGGGCATTTAAGTTTTATTCAAATGGGTTACGGTTTATTTTCATCTTCTGTGTGGCATGTGATTAATAATGCATTAATCTTTTCATTATCAGGCCTGGACGCATTTCCTTCGGCTGAGCGTCTGTCTCCGCTAGATACTTTCCTTGACTTACTAACCGCGAAGGCCAGTTTGCATGAACTGGACTTCAATCTACTAATCGAGGCAACAATTACTTCCACACAACAATATTTGTAATTCATTAATATTTGCTTGTTTCAACTATCAATAATTTGAAAATGCATGAATTTCTTAGAATGCTGGAATGACACTCTTAAATAACAATCTTATGTTTATAGTACGGTAATAACTATTATTCAATAATGCTTCCAATAATTTACTTAGGGCTCTTGCACGTATATAAGTTCTGGGGTGTTTTTTTAATATCGATGTTTTTATTGTAATATATTTGAAAAATTATGACATACTGTTGTCCAAAATCAAACGGCAATTTACAATACAATTAATATACCTTTCCATTAATAAAAATCGTTGCAATAATGTTTTATACAATATTTGACATTAGAAAATTGTTAAAGAATATCTGTGAGTGAGTACGTTAGGCCAAAATTTAGCTAGGTTACATTATGAAAGTTATTTAAAATAATATTCGAACAATTTAGTGATATGATTATAAAACTACTAGTCAAGATAATTAAGATTCATAATATTAGCTTCTACAATGTTATTTCTATTTATTTGTTGTTAATAATAATTTTATTTATTAAATAATTTGTTAATTCTCTGAAAAGGAATCATAAATTCTTTGACAGTTTCAACAATTACTGTATAATATTAGTTGAACTTTGTTATTGATTAATTGTTAAGTTTTGAGACATTTATTGATTTAGTTAAATATGATTTAACATTAGTAAATGTGGGTTTATTCTAATGTGCAATATAAACTATGCTTAGTCAAAGAATTTTTTTCAATTTGAAAAAATCGAGCTCACATTTCTAATTACTTTATTTAGTTACTTATGTCGTTTGTTTCGAGAAATGTGTAACAATGGTCGAAGAAAAATATGCGTTTTAAATTATTTAAATTATTGACACATACATTATTTGAACAAATGTGATTAATTAATATGAATTAATATTTTTTATTTACTAGGGTTTTTAATGTTCAATCGAAAGTTAGTAAATTACTCAAAATTATACAAGTAGCATGTTAATTGTTATATTTGTTTATTAGTTAAATTACTTACAATATTTGTGGTGGTTTGTCGTTGAGGGAAGCAATTTTAATAAAATATATAAAACAAAGCAATAAAATTTCACAATGTTTTATTTACTTTGTTTTCTGTTTTATTCTTATTAGTTTTCTAGGTTTTAGATTTTTCCATCCTTCAGCTGTTTCAGGTGTGAAGCTTTTGATGAAATAACCGTTGAAATGAATTTTTCTAAACAAACAGATACTAATTTTATACATCAATAAAAAGATGATGTAATGTTATATTGTAACTAGATTCGATATATTACCTCTTGGATGGTAAGTGTACAAGTCTACATTCTTTTACAGGCAAAACTTTTTTTAATTCTCCCCATGTTGCTTCAGTACTTTTTTCATTTAAAAAGCCCAGACACTGAGTGTCGCCCATATCCGGACATACTCTATAAATGCAAGATGTTAAAACTAAGTTAGAACTAATTTTGTTTAACTTTCTAATAACATACATATAAGTAGTTTTTATTAGTTTGATATATAAACTCTAGTACATTTATAAATAATTCTAGGTCATTTATAAATAATTAATTTTTTGTAAAAATATTATAATAGACCGATTTAAGGTATCTTACGAAAAAACAAATAATTATTGATTGATTTTTACTCATACAAATTTAGCTCAAATTATTTATTTAAAACCTGTTATAAGAAGCCAAGACATCGCATCCTATAGGACGTTTATATTGCGGAAACGCATCTATCAGTGGAGGCTGAGGTCTAAAAAAGTTGTCCTTTGTGTCAGGAGGTGTGCAGACATATTTTTTTGGAACTGATTCTTTTAGTGTCTCATTATCTGTAAATTCATCCAAAATATAAATACCTTTGTGTCGACAGATAAGGGTGCAATAAATAGACCCTTTGAACTTATTGATAAATTTTATATTACGAGTATTTATTCAATGCGATTATATAACTGAATTTCTATTTGCAACATTTTTTTTTCTTCATTTCACATCTGTGGCATTTTCTTCTAAACATCAAGGAGCTGGAAATGATATTTTCCAACTATCTTTATACATAAAGATACGAGAAAAAATAACCGATTACATTGTTTTTGAATTAAATTTAATTTTGAGACTAGTATAAGTATAGTGATATTTATAATTAGTTATAAATATTAGTGATATTTATAATTACAGTCATAAATATATGCCGTAGATTTAGGTTCATAATATTCTGTCGTTCTCGGATACGTTATAACCATCGGACATTCTGGTGGTGGCTTCGACTGATTTTTAGCGCACTCGCAATCATCTGGCATTTCGTATTTTATATCGAGATTCATTTTGTGCATTTATTTAAAAGTTTAAGGCTTAATCATTTTCTGAAATTTTAAAAAAATATTTTGATGTCAAAATTTTGTTTTGATTTTTGTAGAAGAAAAATTTTGAGAGCCAGCTTTCTATTTGAATGATATATTTCTAATTATAATAGATTATCTAATTATAATAGAGAATCTATTATAATAATAGAATAATGATAGAAAAGTGAAGAGTAACAAAATATATTTATATTTTCAATCTAGTTATAATAGAAAATATCTAATATAAATAAAATCTAATATAATAGAAAATCTAATTATAATAGAGAATCTATTATAATAATAGAATAATGATAGGAAAGTGAAGATTAACAAAATAAATTTATATTTTCAATCATCAATAAAAAATTAGGAATCGTTATAACAGCTGATTATGAGATAGGATTCAAAGGGAGAAAGATGTAGTATGTTTGTTTGAACAAGTTCATTTATGATCTGTAGAGCGCATTGCTTTTAAAGAATCAAAAAAAGTTTCTTTATTCGATTTCTTTTATAATAACTGTTACTTGAATACAGATAGATTACTTTGTTTGTTATTTTGCGCTCGTAAAGTTATGGGTTGAACATTAGTACTATCAGCAATTACTTTTTGCATAGATATAATTTAGCTCGATCATAACCATGATTCGTCTCTAAAAGTATGCGTTGGGTACGGTTGTGACAAAATTTATGGGTTCGGTAGTGACATGCATTTCTTATCCTTTACGGGTGAAGATTAAACAGATGAAAAAAAACTTAACTAAGTCAAAATGCGAAAGAGAATGTGAAAGAAAATTTAATATAAGAAAAAAAAGGTTTTACAAGGTTTTTACTTTGAAAAATAATGTTTTATTATATATTGTTATATTACATTCATAAACTTTGTTTAAATGATTATTTGTGGTGTATATTTTTGACGATAAAGTCGTTTCAGACAGTAAAAGTTATTTTGATGTTTATACTGAAGTATTTCTATATTTTCATGTAGACAAATATTCAAATTTCCATTTAAGTTACTTTTTTTCTAGATGGTAAATTACCAAAATTATTGTAGATTAAAAAAGAAATGCAAACTATAATTGTTATTGCATATAAATTGTTATTAAATATTTAGAAGAATGCAACATTCAATGGCAATTATCACTCGTGGTTGAATATATTTTTAATATCTGTATTATTACTATACTTAGTAAAAAGCTCTTGTATTTTTCAAAAGTATTATTATTATTGTTGTTGGTCAATATTGAAATTTTTATTGTGCATTCAATAAATTTCATAAATTTATATGCTATATAGAAGAGCTGTAAATATCGTTGAACGCACGTCAACTTAGGAAACTGCGACTAAAAGAATGCCCCGATGAAGGAAAATCGATATGGTAACGCATGCGTATCCGGTTATTTTTTTAAACAGCATTATGCCTTTGCGTAATATAGCCAACAGATAATAAAATCAACAGTTAGATTTTACTATAGTTTATTGTAATTTTATATAACACGTTGTTTTACTAAAAGAATAATTTTCTTAATGTGCATCCGACAATGCTGTTCATCAGTTTGTACTCGAAGTTTAATAGCAAGAGATGGGCGGAACGAAAATAAATATCCTTAGTATTGTTTTTATGATTCATCGATAGTATTTATGAATTATGGTTTACTTTTTGAGAAAAATAATTGTATAACGCAATAAGGCCAGAATGGAGGATGTTTTACTAAATATTGTGCAAGAGGCGTCTGGACATAAGCAGATTGCACTAAGAAAAGCAGCACAAGATGCACATGGTAAGCATTAATGAATAATTTAATAACAAATTTATATATTCTTAAGAATTTAATCCTAATAAAAAATGACATAAATATTTTATATTTAGAAGCGATGTCATTTATTTTGTATTTGATGATATGGAGTTTTCTTACTATGATTTGATTCGTAGATATGCTATGCAGGCAGCATGGCAGTGTGAGGGATCCTTCTTATGAATTGCGTGCAAGTTGCTTGAACGCCCTGCAGCTTGCACTGGAAAGTAAAAGATCTAAGGCAGTATCACTTGCCCTTAATGGATTACACGTAGGTTTTAAATTCATCTACAGTTTTTGTCACTATGAATATGAGTTTAATCATTGTAAAAAAATTAAGCTTGAAATATTTTTTTAAAATTAAGTTAGGAACTTTTTAAGCACATTTATAATTAATATGTAAATCTGTGGTGGCATTCCACTTGTGGAAGTTTTGTTTTTAATTCACGCATTTAATTACGTGGAAAATGTGTGGTATCAACATGATGTGTGTTTATGAATTTGAATAAAAGTGAATTGATAATCAGTCATAAATAAGTGCGACAAATATTCAATAAATCTGTTCTACTAATAATTTTTCTGTAGCGTATCATACGCGATGAGCGATTTCATGCTGGACTGGAACCTGAGAATGACTCTCTATGGCTTCCTTCGCAAATGTTGCGAGCTACAAGCAGCGTGACTGCTGTGGCTGGTGCTTCTTCCGCTGCAGGCGCAAAATACAGTAGCGCCCAAGATGCTCTCGTCAATGTGTTGCGTGTGCTTTTGGCAATGGCGTGCTCACCTTCAGCATGCCCATTGAACGGGAGGATAGTCATCGAATTATTGGCAAGATGTGGGGAATGCTGGGAGACTGGTTGCAGAGCCGTAAGAATTTTTTTCAATAACAATTTATTTTTATTACTTTACTAAATTTAAAAAAGATAATTTTTTAGCATGAGATGATTATAATATTTAAGATGAGTATTTACTATAATTGAACCATTTTGCAATATTTAGGTTAGGGCAGCGGCACAAGCTGCAGCTGGACAGACATTACGAGCGTTTTGTGGATTTTTAGATGAGGAATGGCGGGAACTTGACAGAGTCAGAGAGGTGTGCTGTAATATTAATGTTATCATATTTTTTAATATTTGATTACCTTTTCTGAAATGTATATTTTGCAGCATAGCAGAGCAAGTCGTAGCTCAGCAGAAGAATGCAAAGCAAAACTTGCTAGTTTACCACCGACCGGAGGAGAAACATTTTATAATAATGTTCAAAATGATGGCGTCGCATGGACACCATCATCTGCTGTTGCCGTTTATAGCGAAGCAATACCTGTCATGCAGTTTCTCATATCACGTTTGGAAGAATCAAACGTGTAAATATTCAACGACTAAAACACAATTTTAGAAAGGCATGTATAATGTTTATAATTTATTTGCCTTTATAGCCCACCAAAGCCTTGCGAAAGCCGATTATACGTATTAGAGTGCTTATTAAGTTTGCTAACGGCTCTACCGCCAGTAGTGAGGAGCAATGCGCATTTTACAACATTTCTGTGGCAGAAATTTTGTCCAGCTCTAGTTGCATTCCTGGGCACTCCTCGTGTTGATAAACACTTTGTATCAAGGTTTGTCTGATGAATATTGAACAGGAAATCTATTTTAATTTATCTATAATGCAAATAATTTCCAGAGATTACGCACAAACATTAGAAAGTGGACGAGGTTCTGGCGTTCTCGGATCTGCGCCTACATTGTCAGCAGGTAGCGCTCGCTGCGTTTATTTAGTCGTAGGGCAGTTGGTCAGATTGGTTGGGGGAGAAGGTTCTCTAAGGTTGGCTCAATTGAATATTCATTCTATGGATTTATTTTTATCTTTAATATATAACTTATTGGTAATTGCATGCTTAACACAGTTGTGATAATTTGTGTTCCGAATACTTCAAATCGTCTTTGATACCTGATTTTATACGCTAATAACCGTTATGCAACTTATTTAATATTTGCATGTTTTTAGCTTTAAAGATTTGAATATATATGTAAAAATGAGATGTGTCAAAAATAAATGCATTATAGGCCGGTTTTGGAAGCGTTGTTTCATCGTGCACTTCTTTATCCACCGCCGCGGTGTCGAGCAGAAGCTTTACGATGGGTACGCGAATTATTTCGTGACCCGGAGCGTCTACTGGATATGACCGTTTTAACCCATCACAAAGGGCAACAATCGTGTGGTGACGATATGGCTATACTTCGGCTGTAAGTTATATATATACGTATATATATATATATATATATATATATAATATCTAATTTGAAATTATATATTTTTATAGTATTATGGATTCTCTTGAAGAATGCGCCTTATGTGGTGAGAAAACTGTTTTAACTCCTGGTGTCGCATGCATTGTGGCTTTGCTTGGCAGTTTGCAACAGTTAACTCAAGGTCAGGGTGTGTGTTCTGAAGCAGCAGTTAGCATAAACCGAAAATATCCAACGTTAGAAGATTCAGATTACCGTGGCCCGTTGGTTTATCAAAGTTTAGCCAGATTGCCGGCCCCGTACAGGTTGGATACTCTGAATTAATACTTAAAAAGCACTTTTTAATAAGATAAAACTATTATTTTCAAAATTTAATTTAGATGTATTATGTTTCTAACAATTTATACATTATATTGACGCCTTTACTGCTATAGCATCCTGATTACTTTTTCTCACCACAGAGATGTAGTCGCTGGCTTACGTTGCGACGGTGGCACCGAGAGCAGTGATTCAGATTGCGACGGCGACAGTGGGAATCCAGATGAAGAGCGATCTGATACATCTGGCGATACTGAAGGACCCGAAGACGAACAGCCAGATGATTCCGATAACAGATCAATTCTGGCGCTGCAACAAACACCAACACCATGGGATACATATGTTGCTCAAGCTCGAGCATCTTTAGGTCGCGGAGATGCTGATCTGGATCGCGGAAATGCAAGGCATTTTGCAAAGCGCGTACGCGAAGAGTTAGTACCGCGTTTGTTAAGATTACGAACGTCTATCGAGGTAATTTGCAAAATTCTTGTAATTCAATATGTTTTATATTTAAGTGGTTTTGACAAAGTAGTAGAGCAAAATTTTTTTCGCCAGGGTAAAGGTTCGGTTGGCCCTTCTTACCCCACCCACGTGTAAGCTTTTATAGAGGTAAAAACAGTTAAATCTAACTTATGAAAGATGTAACAATACATCTTATGAAACAATTAAATAATGTGTACATAAAAATTACTTTAAGATTTCGTAAACTAAACAATAATGTTCACAACCAAAAGAACTAACAACGAAAGAAAATAATTTTTCATGGATTTTTATTCATTGTATTTTGTCTCTCAATAGTAACGTCATAAAGATCAAGGTGATGGCTGGTTATACATCTTTTACCTTTCACTTTCAAATATTGTTGTTAAAAAATTCTTGACTTTACTTGTATTTGAAATATTGGTGATGGACCTTTTTTACCCGCGGACCTTCAAGCTCCGCATTACCCTATTACCTTAATTTCTATTCATTCTCAATATAATTGTGTCTGAGAATTACATTCAACGTATACGAATGATTAATGCCTGATATAAATTGATATTTACATGCATTATTATAATATATGGAACTATTAAAATATACGCATAAAAAATGCAATAACCTTTTTTTTAATTCTTAATGTTACATATTTTACTTATAACTATTTTTTATTAACAGGTTGATGAAGCATTACAAGATTATGCCTCTCGTTGCTGCAGAGCCGCCGGCCCTTCTTCGTCTAATGACCAACTTATAATGAACGCAGATGGGGTGTATCTTGCCACATATTCGGCGTTGCTGCTAGGGTTGCGACTACTCAGAGCTGGACACTATGCACAAACAGATGCGCAAGTAAATCTTATTTGTAGCAGTATTTAACAATAATTCAAATATAATCACGTTTAAATTCACGAAGATTTAATATTTTATTAATATTAATTAATTTATTAGTTCAGGTGTCTTGCCGTAACATTGCTCTATTTTTTAATTCTTAATTTTTTATTGCTCTGAATATTCAAATATTATTTCTAATGTATTTAATTCTTACAGAGTCCCCCGGTGCCTCTAACGGAATCACAATTTGTTGAGGAAGTTCAAAATAGCGGGGTATTGGTATATTTATCAGGTGCTTGGCTATGTGAACTTTATCAACAAGTTATTGCACATAGCCCGTTGCCTATAATACCATGTGAGTCGACTCGACTAAATATTTTGATTTTGATTGATTTTGACTAGTACCTAATCAACTGATTTTTGTTGTTGTAGTGGCGAATGGCCATTGTGCGCTTGTCGATTTGCTGACTGATCTTGGAGGGCTTGGTTCATCACAAATGCTTTCTGAATGGCAAAAACTGCAAGCTGTGTCTGACGTTCGTCCAGAACCTTCTCCAGAAGCGGTTGCTGGATGTAAATTAGCCAGAAGGTAACTTTTGTCTAATTGATCAAAATTCAAAATTGATTTTACTAAATTATATTTATTGTATTACTTAATAAGTGAATTGCAAGTATAAATTTTTGACTAATTGATCAAAATTCAGAACTGATTTTACTAAATTATATTTATTATATTACTTAATAAGTATATTGCAAGAATGAATACAAAAACGTTTATCCTCTCGTTTTGAAGAGTAATTATTCTTTTTTACACATGCTAAAGGAAAATGCACAGCAATTCTTCACAGGTACTTCACAATCATTAACAAATATAGTGTTGCTTTATTTTCAGAATACTGACTTGCTGTTGGGACTCTTTAGTATCGGTGTTAAGTCGAGCATTGGGGGGACAGGTTAAGGGAACACATAGCAGCACTGCTCGCTTGAAAAAATTTATTAGAAATGGAGCGAAAAAGAAACGTGCCGAGGCATCCTTAATCTCTTCAAGTTTGGAGGGACTTCATAAGGTAAACTAATAAGTCATTATATTCAATTTCAAACATACTTACTTCATAAATTATTTTTTGAAACATATTAGAATGCACACTTTATATATATATATATATATATATATATATATATTTATATATATATATATATATATATATATATTTATATATATATATATATATATCGAGGTTATTGAATGTTATTTTTAGGTTGCTACGCTCAGCAATACCCTCGCATTACAGCGTCTATCTAGTTCAATTTTAACGCTTTTATGTAACAATGTGTGTAATGAGAAAACCACTACCCTTTCTACGGATCACGCATTGTCTTTAGATGTTCTTCTGACAGGTGAAAATATTCATTTACACATTTATTTATATTTCAAAATTATGACATCGTTTTACGATTACGCTTTCCAGGAGGACTTGAACTTGGTTCACACAACGCGTTATGTTGGCCCGCTATATTGGCGGCCTGCCGCCATGTATGCCGATTAGAACATGTGATATTCACTGGACCAGCTCCGCCAGTTCCTTTGCAACAAAACGCCCAAATAGAGCGAAGTGTTATCACTTCTTACCATGCTGGAGAAGAAGATGAAACTTGGTATATATAGCTAATCTGTTTAGCAATTATAATTTTTAGAAGTACTAATTTATATATTTTCTATTTTCAGTGTAGACGTATACAGCTTTCTATCAACTGGTGGAAGTAGTGGTAATGGTAGCGGAAGTAACAATGGGTATACCCGAGTACCACTGTCAGGTGCTCTTGGACCAGATGGGACTGGCTGCTGTGGGTCTTCACCAGAGGCACCATTGCGTCCGCACGAAGCTGCTAGAGCGTTATGTTCACTTTCGCAGCAAGTTGATGCCTTATTTCATGATGCTGCTCTGAAACTCACATTGCCTGCTCTTATAGACTTTTTGAGGTGTTTGTGTCATGCTTCTAGAGAACAGGTTGGTTTGCTTCAGAATCAGAAAGAAAAAATATTGAAATCTATAATAATGCACAGAAAATATTGATATAAAAAATATGCATTTATGAATAATAATCGTTAATTGTATAATGCCAAAAATATAATAAATATTTTCATAATTTATATTATACAAAATAATACGGCGTTTCAATAATTACGAGATTTTTTATCAAAACTTCATGTTTTTTATTTTCACAAATTAATTATTACATCTCAAATATTTTATTTGACCTTATAGCTGTTCAGTAGATCAAACGATTCATCTAATTGTTCAAAATCTGCGGTAACTCTTCCGCCTGCGTTGCGGTGGTTGGCACGGAGTAGTTCAACAAGCGGCCAACTGCGCAATGAGCCAACTACCCTACTTTTGCACAGGGTAGGAGCAGTTACATTAAAAATTGTACGAGGCTCACGACCTCTTTTACATACCATGAAAGTATGGGCCGTTGTCGGTCCTCATTTAATGGAGGTAAAAAATTATTATTTTGATACCATAATATTTGTATAAAAATAATCGAAGTGCTAATGTTTTTATTTTTTTAAGGCTTCGTGTCACAAGGATCGATCTATATCTTCCCGAGCTGTTACTTACATTCACGATTGTGTCACAGCATTATTATCTGAGCAGACTGAATTGCCGCATTTCCATTTTAATGAAGCTTTGCTTAAACCGTTTGAAAATCTCCTTAGTTTAGAACTTTGCGATTCAGATGTGCAGGTAAAGATTCGTAGAAAACTCTTCAGATAAACAAATTCATTATAATTAGATTTTGTATATTACATATTGAATTGTCTTTAAATTATATCTTTGTAGGATCAAATCGTATCGTGTCTGTGTGAAACAGTCGAAGCACATAGTTGTGAGATTCAGTCCGGCTGGAGGCCTTTGTTTGGAACTTTACGTGGAGCGAAAGGAAATGCGCAACATTTACATAATGTTTTAGATATTTTCCGAGTTTTCTTGAATACAGATAATGCTTTAGTTTTTGCAAATGCAGCGTTAGATTGCATACTTTGTTTGTTGACTCACGTGCGATGTACCGATATAGGCTCCATGGAAGAAATTGAAGATTCGAAAACACATATCGGCGTGGAAGCCTTGAAGTATTTAGAAACTTGTGCAAGTATTCTTGCAAATATGTATAATATGCCGAAATGTCCGGTATTTAATTACGCACATAGAATTCAAGAAGAGAGCATACCACAAACAGTTGATCCAACTATACCAACAATAGTTCAGAACGCTCAATACTTTGAAACTGCCTCAGATGAAGTTGAACAATCATATAAACTTCTAGCAACAAGCTCAGAAGTATCTACAAACATATCTGATATGGATAACCCTAGCGGGATACTTAGAGTATGGTTTTTGATGTTGGAAGGCCTTGCATCTGCTACAATTATTTGTCCAAAATCACTTCAACCAGAAGCTTTAGAAACGCTGTTTAAATTGCTTCGAAATTTAATGAACATACCCGGCCCTCAGTTTGGTTTATATTGCATAAATCATTTATTACTACCAATGATGCAGAATTGGTTAAGACAAACTAGTCGCGTACATAGAGGTTGGGATAACGTGGCCGTTAATTTTAAGCAATGTTGTGGAATGGCAAGTGATTTAATAGTAGAATACTTACATAGACTTCAAGATACTGGAGAAGAACACATCGAAGTCGATGCCACAGCTAACAGATTAAAATGTACTGTAATTCGTAGACCTGTGGATAACTTAAAATTTGGGCAAATTAGACGGCAAACAATGCAATTTGAGCCGGAAAATAATCAAAGATTTCATCAAGTAATAAGTACAAACCATGGTTATGAGAATTTCATTAATTTAGCGTTGAAACAACTGCTTTTAGTTTTAACAGAATGTACCACGCAATCTCATGAAAGTATTGCTAGATTAGGAGTGAGTTGTATAAGGCATGTATTGTTAGCATCCGGCTTATTCTTGACACCTGCGCAATGGGAAATTGCGTGTGTCGCCTTACACCGAGCTTGTGATGTTACCCTCGGACCATTGCGGCAGCTATCAATGGCGTTTCATGAACATTCAAACAGCTTTTACGGTGATACAGCTATTGTTAAAGTGGCGGCTAGAAAAGATTGTACTTTGGAAGATAATATACGATTAAGTGCTGTTGCTAGACAGGTTCTTTTATTAGAAAATCAACGCGATTGTAAATCTTCTTCGGCCGATTGGAATGCTAACTCGTTTCTCGATGACAGAAGTTACGTATTTCTTCTATATCCAGTGGAATTGGCATCAACTTTGAATCCAGAATTGTATACATTACGTGTTTCATACAGAAACTTTGTTGTGAGTCTGCTAGCACATCAGATGCTACAACAGGCCATTGCAAGTATAATTTTGCATGGTAGTACAAACATGCCAATATTAGATAATGTGTTAATAGAAAATTGTGCTGGTAATATATTGACATCATATAAAGATAAATTAAATCCGAAGCATATGGAACTGCTGTTAAAATGTCTTGCATTATCATACAAACGTGCCCTCGATTTTGATTCGAAACCCGGATTGAAATTTTTGCTACAAAAAGTTTCAAATATGGAACATTCTGCAAATTTATATAAGCAAAGTAATGCAGCGTGGATCGTGAAAATGGTCACTTTAATAGAACTTTGTGTGTCTGGAATTGCAAAATATAACCTGCATGTATCAGATATAAAATATATTCTAGAGAGTTGTAATACAGATGTTAGTCAAAAATTGAAATATGAGTGTTTCATTGGATACTTATTGGATTTAAAAGAAACCTGGAATTCATATTGCGACTTATATGCTAGTAAACAACAAAAACCCGATGCAGATAATTTTTCCATAGTTTCGGATGGGTCAGAGAATAGTGAAAACTTAGCAAATATCGAATTAGAAGATGATGTTTTTCTAGAAGAAATTCGTTCCGAAGATCACAGTCCGACAAAATCTTCAAGTTGTTCGGATATTAAGCGACAGCAATCACTACTATCGGACAGCAGCGATTATGGCGATGAAGTATCGGTTACAGAAAATGTCATGTATGGCAAACCTGTGAAAAAAGTTATCGGCAAAGATATCACAGCCGAATATAATATGGTTGACCAAAAGAATTCAACTGAAATTGGATCACAAGCTATTCTGGATAATGAAGTTCAAAAGCGAGTTGATAGTATGATGGAACAATATAAACAAAAACATTCAATCGGACAAGTGAGTACCCCAGTAAATCAATCCTCGGTTAGAGTGAATCCTTTCAACGAGCGGTTGGGAGTTATAGCGCCCCAACCTGTACCGCCTGAGATAGAGCAACAGCGCGTACATAGCATTGAGAAGGTGTGCATTATCATTATTTTAGTTCATGCTATTTTAAAATACTCTTTAATATTGATAAAATAAAATGCAATTAGATAAAATAAAATCATCTTTCTTGACAATAAAATAGTTACATTATATATTTAAGCATATATCAGCCTATTTAACTGTTATATATAAAATTCACTGAAAGTAGATTATGTTTGTATTTCTACTATATTATAAGATATTTAATTTATACATATATATATATATATATATATATATATATATATATATATCTTACATTCAAATGCTTTTATATATAAGAGCTGAATAGGCTAATCAATATTAATATATATCTGCAAACCGATATCGATTAAGGCTTAATATATCTTGAATATTCGTGATATTGAATTTCTTTCTCTTCCATATAGGATGCAGAAGCTCAAAGGACGGCTCAATCCCAAAGCGTCCGAGCGGTCCTGGAGTTGCTTCTCTCGCTTCCGTCCCTACCGCTGAGTTGTCTAAGATTTGTTTTGGCCCCAGGCGCACAATCCCTAGCTAGAAGCAGTTCCGAACCAACAATTATTAACCTGGCACATGCATTGTGGCAAGCAGAAGAATAATTAAGTTCTTATAAAATTTATATCATTGAAATATATTTTATTATCCTACAAATATTTATTAGCAAATATATAGATTTGCATACAAATGTGATTTTTAGTAATATTTACTCCAAATGCTGATTTACTAGTTTCTGTACTCGTCCGAAAACCGAAATTGAAAATTTTTGCATATCTTCACGTTTCAAAAGACGTGGTGATTAGTTTTTGGCAAAGACGGGCACAACCGTTTCAGAGATAAAGAGCTCAAAGTGTAAAAAATGATAAAAAATATTTTGCTTGTAAAGAAGAAGTAGAATTTTAGTCTTTAGAATTAAAATTAAAACTCGAATCATTTTCAATATTTAAAAAAAATTTTTTTGAAACAATTTGTTTAAACAATTAGTTTTTGGGGAAAAAATGTTTGAATTTGCAAAAAAAAATTTTTTTTTGAATATTGAAAATGATTCGGGTTTTAATTTTAATTCTGAAGATTGAAATTCTAAAGCTCACTTATATGCTTTAAATAAATAATTTTAACTTTGCAATTCAGTTTATATAACTCTGAGAAATATAACTATATATTCTAACGACGCTTGATAAAATTTTGTTTATTTATTTTTTATGTAAATATATATAAAAGTCATTGTCGAATTTATAAACTTTTATATTTTGTCTATAAAATACGAACAATGAAAATTACAGCTTTTATAATAATCTATTGGAAATTATTTAATATTCCTCGAATATTGCATTACGATACGGAAAGTTCCAGAAATGCTTAAGGCACGATGTTCGTGCTTAAGGCACGATGCCATGCACTATTAGTTTAATTATTTTCTTTTGAAAAATAATATTTTGTTCATCATAACCAGTTCTAATACCTCTATGCTATTTCCAATTCGAAATTCAAATTGCGCGCCACAACTTCATACAAATCGATATTTTGGGTCGATTCTACGTTTAGTTATGTAGATCACCACATGTGTCGCATATCCCTGACATGTCTGACAGTTTATAAAATAGATAAAATTTGTCATATTGAAACATTGCACAAATGCTTAATAAGTGAAATAGTTTTATTTATTTGCGGATGTTATTTTTACTTCTAATTTATTTATATTGTGAATCATGTAGTTTGTTCGTATATTTATACATATGCTTACGTTAATAGTGACGCGAAACATAAATATTTTTATGAATGTCATAAGAATTGTGATTATATGTAAAAGGGTTTTTAGAAGACCATAACTTTAAGTTAATTTATTAGTTTCTGCTAATATTATTACAGTATTACTTGTTATCTATGACTTGTGTTACTCATAGGTAATGAATAATTGGAACTAGTTAATTCATTTCATAAAATGGTGAAAACTATCTAAAATACCTTCGAAAAGTTCTTTTCAGTTCATAAACTAAAGTGTAAATTAATGTAAAAACTAAATTAAAAGTGTTATCAGGTACTTATCCATGTCGGACAACGTTTGATACAGGTAAAATGGTTCGCATATTTCTTATGTGTATTTATAGATTATTGCAAGGTGCATAATTGTACCACATTCCAATACGATTTTAATTTTATGGACCAACGTAATAAACACACTTTACAGTAAATCTAACTTATTTAAGTAATTTTCTTGCCATATATAATTATTGAAATTGTTTCGATTCATGTGTTATTTATATTTCATCAATTCCTCGTTTATCTCAAACGTTATAGCTTGTCTAAATTTTGTGATTTGGTTCATTTTTAGTACGGTCTATTAATTTATTTATGTGTAGGTTTTTTTTAATATGAATAGTTTGCTGTATTTTATAGGGCTTTTGTGAAACGTGTATTTGTACTTTCAAAATGTAAAACATGACTCACCTGTGGTACTGGTTAGCGTGCTTGTGCACCTATACATCCCCAGATATAGATACTTATTGTTTAATCTAAAGAACACGTTTTTAAATGATACTGCCCTTTCTATTATAAAGATGGTAGTACAAATTTTTTACAGATTTTTAAATTCATTCACTTCTATATATGTATATTTAGATTTTTTATATACTTTATTTTTTACTTTGATACAATTTTTGTATTAAGCTTGTTCATATTTTGATCTACATATTGACTATCAACTCAGTTCGATATAATTATGAAGCTCTTATTCCTTTATAATACAGAATGGGTTCCAGTAATGAAACGAGGAGACTTGTTTGTTATGGTATGTAAATTTTTAACACAATTGTATCACTTGAGTGATTAATAATGAGTCCCTAAAATCTTAAATAACTATTTTAGTTTTTCAATATGAATTAAAAAATTGCACTCAATCATGGAACATCAGGTGCACAAATGGTAGTCTTTTGTAACACTGAGGAAAATGAGGTCATGGATTTAGTAATATATTGCTAATTTTAATACTTCTAGTTCTTCAATATTTTGCTAGCACTCTTTGTTTCGAAATTCGTATTTCATATATGAATCTAGAGAAATTTGATAACGTGTTCAATATGTTGGGTCATAGACCGCTCTATGGGGCACGTGACCCAATTAGTCTTTTGGTTTTTGTTACTATATAATACTAGAAATTCAGTATCGATGTTATGTGTCTTATTTTTGTTTTAAATTTGGATGAGTTAGAATATACTGTTACATAATTTTTTCCACTTGTTATGTAACCAAAGGTTTTTTTTATTGGCCTCCGCTTTACAGCATTTTTAGCCACCTACATTATTCATATTATTTTTCATCAAATTCTATACAATTCTTACATATATATTTCTTATACATTCATCATATACGTATATTATCTCTTCTTACATACTAATCTTCCATTCTTCAATTCCATTCAAGTTTCATTCTTCTTCTTGTTTCTCAATATGTTTTTCTCATCTGCTAAACTAAACTTCTTTTTTCCTTCTTACTTCTAATACAATTTTTTCTTGTATTCTACAAATTAACAATTTTTAATTTACTTAATATTTTATATTTTTAATTCTGGTATTGCTGGAGATTCGAACCGAATTCCTCTAACGTGTGAGTCGAGAACGTTCAAAAAAAATCTTTGTGTTTAATCATAGATTGAAACTTAAAGGTAATAATAATAATTAATTATCCGATAATCTTTTGGAGGATTTATTAGTAATAAATATATTTTAGTAGAAACTTAATATTTTTTCCAAAAAATTTCAATGCACGTAGAGATTCACATTTACATTACAAATTAGCATCCTATCAATGTTTTTTTTATGAGAACTTGTAATTCTGTTTACTATAATGCGTCACAATTCAGTTTTATATTTTGAAATAACCAGTGGTAAATAAATTTACATATGAATAACTTTCGCGTTTATGCGGTGATGTTGAAATTTTGCTGAACTGAAATTGCACGACAAACAAACCAAATATGTTCTTTATTTATATAATTAACGATTTATTTTTCCAGCGTTTTTGTTTTTGCAAGTTGAATTTATAATATATTTTTCATCAGAACACTGTCACTTTATATCCAAATAACTTCTTTCGATTACGTTTCAAGTTTTTTCAGATTCTTTTTGGATTTTGGATTTTGTGTATAATTGTAAATAATACTACTGAGCTTATACAAAATTTTCAAATTTTTGCGAGGAGAGATAGAAAATGAATTAAGTATTTCTTCTTTGATCTGCTTTTTGAAAAGTTTCAAGTAACGTTCGATGAATTAACGAACAGTTATGTGACTACGTTCAGTAAAATGGGCAGCTACTTTATCATTGTAGAAATGTATTTTTTTTATGTCTTTCAACAATTCGTTATCTACACCTTTTTACCCTATAGGCGGGGTAACTTGGAACGGCCAGGTGGCAAACACGTTTAATGTCTTATTTTAAAGGTATTTTACAAAATAATTATATTTTTAACTAATGCTAAAAAACTACCAACGGAAGAAAATACTTTTATTATGGATTTTCAAAGATTACCGATATTTTGTCAATACAATCAAACTGGAGGTTTTATACTTTCTATAGAAAACATGGTATAATCCAATCCAAGTCTTTTTTGGTCTTTCGACTTATATTGTCGTAAATATTTACGTAAAACATCCAATTAAAAGTAATTGAACATCATCTGTCAAAAACGTTTGACATTTTACGTATTAGTCACCGTCCATTGTTTTATTCAAATTACGCTTCTACAAAAAATTTCAAATTAAAAATGTAAAGTTTCTACTCGGTTTTGAAAAAATTTCTTACCTTTCCGACAATCTCTGGATTGGCACGAATTTTTCAAGACTAAGACTGGCCAAATCGGTTTAGCCGTTTTCGAGTTATACTAAGACATTTGAAAGAGAGCTCCATTTTTATATATAAGATTAACATGTAGCAATTTCTATTATAGAAATAGAATACCATTTCTAAGATTATTTGAAAGTCACACTCCATAGCTATGGAGTAATAAAAGATAAGAAAAAATATTGGGCAGCTACGGACCATATACTGTTTATGTTTTTGTTTAATAATTCTGTAATTTTTTTGTTTAATTGTTGAATTTTGTTTAATAATACTGTTTCTTATCTTTTATCAGCCAGTTGACTGTGATTATATTTGTAATTATATTCTGAAATGCCAAGATGTTAAGCTATATCGGTATGCAATAAGTAGTTGCAAGTGGGATTTTACCTTAAGGCAAGTTGCAGAAGCTTCCCGATATGTATAAATATTCGACTAAATAAGAATTCAGATTTAGCTATTCGTTTAACATTTCTTACTGTTTATTTCGAAAATAGCTTTTGCTTTTTATCAAAAACGATTCTTACTTTCTTATACCTACAAGTATAATATTTCATAGAATTTATTACATTTGATACGTATATAATATATGCTTAAGTTAAGGGGGTATTCTAGTGTAGAGCGATGAATTTTAGGTCATTTTTAAAATGTCGTAAAAGAAAGCAATGAATGTTTTCACTATCCATTTTTTTACCACTTGTTTATTAATATTATTAAAACACAATACAAAAATTTAAAAAAAGTTGAAAATTGAAGAAACTGGCAGCTGATGAGGTGGGGGTCTCAAAAAAATGGCACTGTCATGGCAATGTCACTTAGTCTTGACATGATTTCAGCTCTCCTAGCCATCCGAAATAAAAGAAATAAAAAGATTATTACTAAATATTGTTATTAATGTACAATGATGTCGCAATCGCCCGAACTAGCGATGAGTAAAAAAATTTTTTTGAGTTTCTCAAATTTTTTTAAAATAGTAAAAATTGGAATTTGGGGATAATCCTGGTTCGGGCTATAGATAGAGTCTATAAACAAGACTCTCTGAACATTTCAAGTGAATCGGTCGAGTAAAACTCGAGAAATCGTGTCAACAGTACTGAAAAAGTCTGTTCTGTGAAAAACGCATTTAAAGTTTTGCGTGAAGTTTTTTGCTGTCAAAGTCATAAAATGATATGTTATACTTCTTTTATTTAATCTGCCATTCCTGCTTCATGCATCGGACCTTCTTCTACTTCAAGAAAACTATTTTCTGCATTTCTCTCTTTGAAGCGTTGGATGTATGTTTTTCAGATCGTTCAATCCGGGCGTTGTCTCGTCTTACAGCAAATGAATGAGTTTCTGGCCCAATTTGCATTCTCATAAGGGTCATCATTTTTAAAATCGTAAAGAAACCTTCATTGAATATGCAAACAGCAATAAATGTTGCTTTTCAAATACCCGAGATCGGGAATGAATATGTTTTGGCGCGAAAATCCAAATCAACGAGTTTAGAGATTCATTATTTTTATTTTTAGAGTTTCTGAACCTATACATCAAATTTATAATTCATCTGACGATAAACTGTCTTAAATTGGTCTAATGACTTCCTAATGCCTTTTGTCCGATTAGAAACTGGACAAGGGACCAGTTTGGAGACCGAGTCAGTAAAATGCCTATATCTCCGAAAATAATTCAAATATTCAAAAACCTTCTCGAACCCATATTCTTAGATAGTTAAACTTTAAAATATGAATTTAAAAAAATTCGTTTTTTTTTAATTTCTACACTAGAATACCCCCTTAAGAAAGAATTAAAATATACTAATTAAATTCTTAAATTTTGTAGAATAAACCCGTGAACTGAATTAATGTAGGGGAGCTAAGGGATTGTTGTACATTTTTTTTACAATGATTATATTTCGTCGAATATGAAATAAAATGGATAATTGCTGTAGCTATTCATCTATTGATTCAAATAAAAATATATCGACAAATGTTGTTCATTATTTCACAATTAATACATTTCTAGAAAAAGTGAGGTGTTAAACTTACCCCGTTTTTGGGACTTAGGCAATAACGAAAAAAAACAATGATACTTCTGATAATTCATTCTCTACTTATGTTTAAATGGACTTGTTTCTAAATAATTATTTACATACATTAACGCAAGCTATGATTAATTCAAAGAAAATATATAAAGTCTCCTGTAATATAAGTTTTTATCATAAATCAACGTAAACTACAATTAATATAAATCAAAG